CTTCCTTCCTTCCTTCCTTCCTTCCTTCCTTCCTTCCTTCCTTCCTTCCTTCCTTCCTTCCTTCCTTCCTGTCTATCTGTCTATCTGTCTATCTGTCTATCTGTCTATCTGTCTATCTGTCTAAACCAGGTCTTCTGGAGGCAAAATTCCATGCAGGCATACCAAGTCTCACAGATACTTTACAACATTTAAAATCTCCCTCTGCTGAGAAAGCTGGCCAGAAGATCTGCCTTCCCTGGTAGTCTCCAAGAAAATGTGGACATCACTGTTGTCAGTCAAGAGTTTTCTTAGGCTACATCTTGCCTAATGCCTAGGTCCACAGAGTAGTATGCCGGCTGCAAAGACCAATATTGCTTGAGTGCTTATTGGAAGGTTAGGTTTTGAAAACCACCTGATTTGATTTTCCAGCTACCTCATTCAACAAACTGTGGGTCCCTTCACACTCCACTGGATAATGTTGGCCGTGGACAAAAGGAAGAGTGTAGGGGAAGGAAATGGAGGCACTAACTGAATAAATGATGATAAATAAATTATGATAAATGAATCAATGGTAGACTTAGCAACTTAGGAGCATCAGCTCAGCCCAACTATACTGTTTGTTGAAGCAACAATTTGAACTCATCTCACATCCTCTACCATCAAGAGATATACAGCAATGGAAATTGAGAAATCAATTGATCTCCAGTTAAATTGAGCCTCCTGACATTCAGGAGGGCCACAAAGGGCCATTCAGGGGACAACTCCAGGGTTGGGGGATTATGGGTGGGCATAGGAATAGTTTGCTTCACAGAGGTCTCCTGCTCCTGTTCCTATCATTAAAATACCATGAACATGCCAAAGAGAACCCTAAAACTAGTTACTGCAACCAGAACCAGCCCAATCAATTAGATCAAACAGAGAAAAACTGTTATTGATTCATATTTTCGAGTGCTCCAGGGAGCTGCTTTTCTGTGACAACTGTCTGGACACTGTGGAACAGTCTCCTGGTTGAGATTAGGCTAGGCCCTTCCTTGTTGATGGTGTGGAAGCTTTCAAAGACAGCGATGTTTACTTCCTGTTTTTATAGTTTGTTGTTTTATATTTGGGGGGTGTTGTTTTTATGGTTGTTATACTGTAGATGTTTCCCTTAGTTTTTTATCATCCTGTTCTAAAAGAACCCAGCACTTCCGAATCCCATTTTGGGGATTAGAAGATTAGGAGTAGTGAGGGGGGCTGGAAAAGAAATAGAAAGAATTCCAGTGATAAAAAAATCCATTAAAATGGGAGAGGAGTACTTTAACAGTTTACTCCAGTTCGGCTTGGAAAAACTCCAGGTAGGAAAGGTTCACTAAGGTTCTGCCTTAATGGACTCACACATAAAAGAAAGCTGGAAGTTACTATTGTAGTTTCCAAGATTCTGTATTCTAATTTTTGCATTCAAGTTCTTTACTGAAGTCTATGTGATGCTTGTTTCCTTGATTGTGCTCTGTGGTCTGGGGCATGACAAGAAGAAACAGAAGTGGGGAAATTCCCAGAGGTCTCCCATTCCTATTCTCACTCTTAATTTTGAGGGGGGGGGGAAATGCCCCAATGATCATTAACCATGCTGATACTGAATTTCAGCAGCATTATCTCAGGAAGCTATGGGACTGCATATGGGGTACTGGGGGCTATCTTGAGACTGCACATGGGGGATCTTGGGATTACCCATCACTGTTCCCAGGAGGAAAATGATAGAATAATGTTGCTTTCATGAGCTGGCAATCCTTACTTAGTTCTGTTGGATGATGAAAGAGGAACCCAAAGTTTTTTGATCTGCTCTAGGAAAATCTTGATGAAGTTCTTACCTGAGCAAACTTATGGATCTGTTCCACCATTGCTGCAAAGAGAGCATGGACACTTTCATCAATCAAGCTCTGCATGTAGTGTACTGCCTCCTCGTCAGAGAGATCCAGACGGAACTTGTCTTGAACCTGAGAAGGAAAGGAATGGAGGATCCAGAAGATGACTCTGAATTTAAGACAATCTCCACAAAGTAAGCAGAAAAATCTATCTAGCTGTCTGTCTGTCTGGTCTTAAAAATGCAGACAAAAATCTCATATTATATTCATTTTCCTCACTGTGTCAACCTAGGGTCACCAACTGTAGCAGAAACCTTGTGATTCTACCACTCCAATAAATTTATGCAAGTCAGACATTTCTAGATGTGTATAAGCATGCATGCATATATGTATGTACATGTATATAACTGCCAGCAACCACACTTCAAAAAAGGCTAAGACCAGGACAAAAAGTAAATGCTTTTTAATTTGAAATCAATTATCTGTAAAATAAGATGCCTCCTTCATACAACTTGCTCTTTCCCATATCCATATATCAACCATTCTCTTCCAGACACAAACCATTCTCACCCACAAAAACATAGGTACAGAAAACACATTCCTCTCTGTTCTTCCTACAGTAAAAAAAAAAAGGAAGGAAGGGAGGGAGGGAGGGAGGGAGGAGATGGTATAAGAGAGAGGGAAGAATAAGGGAGAAATAAACCTGGATGGGGAGTGAGGGGAGGGGAAGAGGTAAGTGGGAAAGGATGGAAAGAAAGAAAAAATAAAGAAGCCTTGCTTAAGCACTTCAAGGGTTAAATTCACCAGGCAAGCAACAGGTAATATTCAGAGTAATCTTCAAAAGCACCCACTTTGCAGTTGTGAACCTGCAGCCGCTTGCCCCTTGTGCTCATACCTTTGTTTTCAGCAGCTTTTCCCTGCTTCACCAGCAATTATTTAGGAGAAAACCCTTGTTACCCTATTGAATAAACAAAGTATTTTCTGGTAGATACAGAAAATAAATAGACATTTTGCACATTATGACAATCAATTGCCATAGCCCATTAAGTTTGGATTTGTTGATAAGTTGCAAGCTTGGAATAATTCCAGCAAGGAAACTATAAATATTCCATCGTGGGCTGAATGTTCTGTGCCACATTTATGGTGTTTCCATATTATACATAGAAGGTGCTGCGGCTGGGTGAGTGTTTTTCAATTTTATAAGAGAAAAGGGTTATTTTCTGAATGGCTCACTGGCGTGCATGTATACACACACACACACACACACACACCTTAATTTTTCTACAGCAGAAATGGATCTGTCTGCATGGTAGTTTACATTATCTTTCCTTTTTTTGCAAGGGGGAACTGAAAGAGGTACATGCAATCTTTTGGGGCTCATGGGTACATCTAGAATACTGAGAACTGTATAAAATGTTTGGTGCACCTGGCCAGACTCAAACTATTATCCCTGCGTTATTCTGAGAGCAGGTCAAGACCTTTTACTATACAGGTACTCTTTGTTTAGTGCCTGCCTCGTTTAGCGACTATGTGCAGTTACGACAGTCATGAAAAAGTAACTTTACAACCAATCCTTGCATTTACGACCTTCACAGGTCCATAAAGTAAAGCAAAGAAAAACTGAAGTAAAATCATAAGCACAGTCATGCTTTCATTTAGTGACCATTTCCCTTAACGACCTAGTTGCTGGTCCCAATTGTGGTCGCTAAATGAGGACCAGCTGTACTTTAACCCTAAGGAATCTCTGGATGGCCTGATTGATTTAATTCTGTTGTAGTTCCGTTCTTTACTATTGGTAGATTGCTTTATATATATATTTTATTTTTATATGCTGCTTTGAAGAAAAAAAGAAAAGAAAAGAAAAGAAAAGAAAAGAAAAGAAAAGAAAAGAAAAGAAAAGAAATAGCACTCAATTATGCATTCATACTGCTACATTGGTTGGAACCTCTGTTCCTTCAAGTGAATGTGCAATTAAAGTGGGATTCAGTTAAGCCCAGAATAGAAGAAATCAGTGCAACGTAACGAACTATTTCTTTGAGGGTCATTGTAGGATCAAGATTAATGAGCACAGAGTCCAGTTAGAAAATGTCCCACAAAGCAGGTAAAAATTTGGAGAAGTTGGGGGAAGGGGAATTAACATGATTTTGTCTTAAGTCTGAGCACTTGTGAAAGCATTTTAGCAAAATCCAAAAGAGAACTGCAAGTGGACAATGATTCTGCCTTCCGTTCTACAATTCACAGATAGACATTTTGCATGCTTGCTTTTTTTTGGGGGGGGGGGATTTTCTATTAAAACTAGACCTTGTTTGTACAGCAGTTAAAATT